CTGGCTGGGGAATTCTGGGAGTTGAAGTCCACACGTCTTCAAGTTGCCAAGGTTGAGAAACACTGCTCTAAAGGAGTCATCACAATAATGAATTCTGCAGTGACCACCACAGCTGTCTGACTTTCCAGACAGTTGCCATGGCCATTTCACAATCCATTGCTATGGGAATTGGGCTTCTAAAATGCCACTTGACATTGTGGAAGCAATGTCGTTCTTTTCATTGAGGCAAAGAGGTGACAGAGTTGCCTCGACAGAGCACTCAAATTCGCTTTGCTTGCTCAACCGGCATTTGCAAAAGTCAGGAAAGGCATTTGAGCAGCCAAGGGCCAATTGAGGCAGGCAAAGCCACGCCATACAGCCATGTGACTCATCCAAGCAAAGTGCTTGCTCAAAAGTCTGCCCAGACATAGTGGGAATCAAGTACAGTAGGATGGCAGAGGGGTTGTAGTCTGTGTCAAGCGACTGAAAGGGTTCCTTGGTGAGGCAGTCAGGAGGGGAACAAGCAGTTGAGTGCAATTCAGTGCCAGTCTTGGTCCAGCGCCTGAAGCATCTCCTTCATTTGGCCTACCAGCATAGCCGGCCCTGACATTCACTAGCCCAATTAATAAATGCAAATAAGTAAACACGAGCAAGGTGGAGATTGCCAAAATAAAGCAGGGCTTCTATTCCATGCATATCTGCACAGTTGCTTTGCAAACAACACCTGCTGGAATTCAGACTTCTATGCAGATATGTCTCTGTGTGTGTTACACTATTCGTACCTATATAAAGTAACTTCCAGCTCTTATTAGCGTTTCCGTAGCTCAATGGTAGAAAGTTGCATGCAGAAAGTTCCTGTCTCGGTTCCCTGGGGTCTCTGCTAAGAGGGAGGTAGCAGGACCTCACCCAGAAGAAACAGGCCAGAGACCTTAGAGGACCACTGCCTATCACTGCACATAATGTGGTGGGCTCCCCGCTTAGCAAGTAGCTCCATAATTGGGAGAGGGCAATCTAGCAGTGATAACGAACGGTTCGTGCCTCTGCTGAAGTGAACGGACGGTTGTGTTCTCTGTCGACTAAGTGCGCCTCTGAAAACAAAGGGGCTTTAAACACACAGCTTTCATTTGAGACAGTGGATCATTACGCCTCCATTTCTTTCTGAGAACATCAGGTACTTCTTTGCTTTTATCGCCAGATGGAGGGTGGCAAAAAAAGAAAAAAAAAAAGAAGGCAGAATGTGCAGTTCCCTTCCCCAGTGACTATTTTAAAGACCGCTGTCACTAATTACAAAAAGAAGGGAATCCTTTGGCCCCAAACCAGCCTCAGTGGCGTGCCAGCCAGCGGGAAGAAACAACAGGAAAGCATCAACTGGTCTCCAAGCCCATATTTATTGACTTACTTAATTTCCATCCTTTTTTTCAGTCTCCCTGCAAGGCAGCTGACGTCAAATAATCAAATGCCCTTAAAGGTTCTGGCAATTTAATTAGAGTGGGCAGTTATAAAAAGCTAATTTAAAACATCACCATAGTTAAAACTACAGACAAACTCACAGGTGTAACATTGCTGGGGGGGGGGGGGGGATGGAGGGAGGGTGCTCCAAACCAGTAAGAACCAAGAAATAATATTGATCCCAGATGCAAAATCTCTGCAAAATCTCCACTTCTGTTGTGACTTGCTTCAAAGGAATAAGTTCCTAGTCCTTATGGGCCCACAGGTTGCCTTGAAAATATCCAGGTGGTTCTTGATGAAAATTCAGCCAAGGGGTTGAATGGTACAGAGATGTGGGAGCTTTTGACCTCTAAAAGCTGAACAAATAATGCAAAAAGAGATAATGGATGTTTCCTAATATAGGTGGTCCCCGGATTAAGAATGCCCAGATTACAGATGACCCATAGTTAAGAACGGAGCCTATGGTAGCAAAATTCGAGTTAAATACACAATGATTCAAGTTAAATATACAATGGTTTGAGTTCATTGCATAATACTACTTATATCGTATTATACAATAATACTGTTCCGGCTTACATACTAATCTGACCTGGGAACAGAACTCATTGTTAAACTGGGGACTACCTGTATTTATTTATTGAAAGAACTTGTATTTCCACCTAGCTCACACAGTGTTCCTAGGCTGTTCCTGGTAACCGCTAAAATCTAGAATGAAAACAGAGCCACCCTGTTCTACATACACTGGCTCATCCTCATTCCTAGCCCAATGTTTGGGAGAAGAACATGGTCTTCATGGTCTTCCAGAAGGCTAAACAGCTGCATACCTTCTGGATCTGAGGTGGGAGGCTATTCCTAAGGGCTGGGCAGCTGCAGAGAAGGTGTGCCTCCCAAGGTCCCATCAGATGACAGTATTTAAGGGAGGGGACCTGGAGGGCGCCCATCCTATCTGGCCTAGTGGGACAGGCAGATACCGTCCATAGTCCCACAAGTAACCTGGCCCTGTGCCATGTAAGGCTTTAAAGCTGTAACCTTGAATTGCACCCGGAAAACAACTAGGAGTCGGCGCAGCTCACACAACTGGTGAATTGCGGGGCACCCACAACTGGGTGTGCTGCTGCATGCTGGGCCCGTTGCAACTTCCAGATGGCCTTCAAGGGCAGCCCCCTGTAGAGTGCATTGCAGTAGTCCAATGGGAAGATGACTAAGCACGGGGGACCATGACCAATCTGGATTGCCTGAGCAGAAAACGTCTCTCTCCTGATCTTCTGCTTGTTTCTTTTTTGCAGCCGAAACTGACCCTTGTGATAACGACCCGTGTTTGCATGGGGGCACCTGCCAGTCGAGTGGAAACCTTTCCAGCTGCATCTGTCCTGCAGGATTCACAGGCGAGAACTGTGAAATAGGTGAGGGGATGGGGTAGGAGGGTCTGTTCGAATAGCCTACGAGAATCAGTTTCCTTCCTTCCAGGGAGCTTCTCCCTCTCTGCATCCATTGCTTTAGTCCAGTGTTTCTCAACCTTGACAACTTTAAGATGGGTGGACTTCAACTCCCAGAATTCCCCAGCCAGCATGGCTACCTGGGGAATTCTGGGAGTTAAAGTCCACCCATCTTAGAGTTGCCAAGGTTGAGAAACACTGCTTTAGTCTGTCCTAAATGTCAGCAGATCAAACTCAAGCAATGCCTTTGGAGCTTGTCCTCCCAAAATCTGTTTTGTGACACAGCCCAGCCAGCAGCTTTTGAGGTTCTCACTCAGTGGCGGCAGAAGCGGCTGTGTGGGACGGATTAGAGGAGCCATGAGAAGCATCTTCAAATTCTGCAATATCTGTGGGACCCAAAAGGAGCTGGCTGGCTCAATTTAGCTCCCGAAAGCAGGATTTTGTGAAAATGAACCAGAAACAGATGTTAAACTTTAGCACAGCCTCAGCACTCTTGTATAAAAGGAAGCGGCTTTGGAGAGCTACGAGAGGTTGATAGTGATACAGCGACATCACACAGCCAATGAAGACCACCCACAAGTTGTGTTCTCTCAGTGTGCTTACACCAGATCAGTTAAAGGCCTAGTGCAGTGTTTCCCAACCTTGACAACTTTTAGAGGTGTGGACTTCAACTCCCAGAATTCCCCAGCCAGCATGCTGGTTGGGGAATTCTGGAAGTTGAAGTCCACACCTCTAAAAGTTGTCAAGGTTGAGTAAAACTGTCCTAGAGCGACAGGTTCTCTCTAGGCACTCTGGCACTGTCCCCATTCTAGTTTTATAACCACCTCCCTGTGGCCAACCTCAATCCTGCCTGCTGTGGCCTTGACCCAGTTGTTGTGGGGTGGGGAAGAAGCAGAAGATGCCAGGAAGTAGGAAATCCAGCCTCCCTTGAGGTCCATGGGCTCCTTGGCAAAGGGTGGGAGAACTGTAAATAGGGGCTGTGCATGCTCTGAAAATGATGAGCGCAGCCCCTCCGTGCTATTCGTGAAACAGTCCAACTTCTTTGGAGGCTTCGGTGTGGTCCTGAGGGAATAATAATATTCCTGCTTTAAGGAATTTGAAATTCTTTAATGGGCACCATATTTCAGCATGATGCAGAAGCCCAAGAAAGAGGGGGGTGTCTTTTTTTCCAAATCATTATCCAGAGCTGCATGGCTATCGTTAATATGGCCACCGGATGCCTAATTAGAATTGCTGATTTATAGGCTGAGTCATCCTCGTCACGCAAACACAGCCATGGACTGGCACGAGGTATCACCTTCCGGCCAGATAGAGAAGTCTCTCAGCTGCTTTAAAAAGAACTCCTTCCCTTTGCGAGTTTTATTTGTGGGTGGGAGGAGCTGCACAGTGTGCTGTCACCATTTGCCCATGCAGAGTGAGGGCAAAGTGCACTGCCCTCACTCAAAACTGACTTTGCTTTGTAAATCACATAGCCCAAATCAATAACAGTGGGTGATTTTTCTCTCTTCTTACCGGCAGATTGACAGTGTTTTACCACCCCTTGCTCTGAGGGCCTCCAGCCATCCAAAAAAACCAAGGGTTGACGTTTCCCAGCAATTTTATGCACATGCTCGGCTGTCATGCTCCCAGATGTGTGTTGGTGCATCCATCTGCTGGATTGCTATGTTGTTAATCTTTGCTCTGGATGCAGCTGGCTGCTGCTCCTCAAACACAGATAAGCTTTGAGGATTCATCTGCAGCCCTGAGCTGACTGCATTTCACGCCGACTTATTTGCACAGACTATAGTTCCAGAGATATCTCCATGCATTCACTGGTATTATTTCTCTAGGGCAGCGTTTCTCAACCTTAGCGACTTAAAGATGTGTGGACTTCAACTCCCAGAATTCCCCAGCCAGCCTGGCTGGCTGGAGAATTCTGGGAGTTGAAGTCCACACATCTTCAAGTCGCTAAGGTTGAGAAACACTGCTCTCTGGTTACCCCCCCCAAAAAAACACCCTCTCTTTTTTCTATAATCTCTTTTTTCTAATCATCGAAACCATCAATCAGAAGTTCATTTTTTTCTATAACCTGCAAAAAGTCTGTAAGGGGTTTCCAGTCAGCAATAAACAGAACCCAGACAATCTTGTAGAAGGGATTGTGAGTTACGTGCAGCAGTAGCATTGAGGAGGCCGCACCTTCACGGGTTGCCCTGTCCTTCTCCCCACAGATATCGATGACTGCTTATCCAACCCTTGCCAGAACGGCGGGACCTGCATCGACGACATCAACGCCTTTGTCTGCCTGTGTCTGCCCAGCTACGGAGGGAGCTTATGCAACCGAGGTGTGGAGGAGGCTCTGGCCATCTGTGGTTTTGGCAAAAGACATTCGGATAAGGGGCAGGCCAAGCACTCCAGAACATGTTCATCTTCCCTAGGCGTCCGGTAGAAACCACAGCAATGTTAAAACAATGGCATGCACGTCGTGACTTCACTGTGCAAATCACACAGTTCTGCAATGAGTCAATTGCTGTGCGAGGTGAAATTGCCGATGTGCAGAATTTGTGCTGTTTGTGCAAGGACAGCATGACACGCATGTTGGCACATGCCCCATCCCCATAGATACCCATGACCATTGAAATAGTCCATAAAGTCCAACTACACAACTTGTGTACCGTCCCTTTTTTATATGCATTGCGCAGTCACAGTTACTTCTCAACTTTTTTGATACAACCCCCGTCCTCCTCCTACAAACACCCCTTAGTATGTTCAAAACCCATATCAGAGGAATTAGAATTATGCACTAAACTGGGAATGTTTAAGGATCAAGGGACTTACCTGTACAATTAAAATTCAATGCCACAAAATCCAGTGAAAATTAAGTTTGTATTTGGCTTTGTGAGACTTTGATCAGAAAACAAAATCTTCAACAGTGGTAGACGTGTCTAGCTACTTTTGGAATGGAGGGAATTATAAAACAGAGAATAGAATCGCCAAAAATTCTCTGGCTTTTAAGAAGTAGTGGGGAAGGTAGAAGTTAGGAGCGGCTTAAAAATGGAACTGGGAGTTCTGTTAGGAGCAAAGTTGGATGCAAACGTGGGATGCAAACTTCTGGAGGTTCTGCAATCGTTGGATTTGTGTTGGAAAATTGGGAAAAAAATGTGGAGAGATTACTTTGTTTGTGGCTGAATGAGAAGAAATAACATTACAAAAATACATCTGTCCTAGCTGAGTTTGACTGATACAAAGAAAATGATGTGGATGTAATCCTCCGACTCCTTTGGAAGTCACCACTATACAAATAAATGGAAAACAAAGTACAGACCATTCAAATGAGGGATACCATTAATCAAGCAATCAGTGCCAGAAGCTGTACGACCCCAAGCATCTGAAATATCCACAAAGAGATATAAAAAGAGTTTTAAACAAGGGTGAGAACGAGGGGAAGGAGGAAGGTCATGATGTGAGGTTGTAGCAGAGGGCAGATTTTAAACTGTCATCTTCCCCATCCTAATACGACATGCTGTCCAGTCTAGAGCAATATGAGATTGTGCTGAGGCCGAGGAAGAAAGAGAAGCATCTCAACCACCAGCAGACAGGAGACCCCATTACCACCTTATCAAATAAACAAATTCTTAGTCCATCATGCAAACATCCCAGAGGAAAAAAGATTCAAAAACTTTGCAGGTTCCACCTTAATGAACTCACTCTTAGAGGACGAGAGGTTCCTATCACAGGTCTCCAGATTCTGTACTATCACCCCTAATTCTTAGCATTAAAACTCATTCAAGAAGGTCTGGGTGAATCTTGTTTCCTTAACTGGGCTCTGCGGTTAATGCGCTTGGCAAGGATGCTCAATAGCTGAGTTCACCCAACACTATTAACCTGGTTGTTGAATTAATCCACCTTCTGGGTTCACTGGATCTTAAACTAATCAAGTGGGCTGAGTTTGCACATCACACTACAGCAAGCCGACCACTAACCAGACTTTGCACTTTTGTGCAAATGCAGCCACTTCGTCATGAACTAATCTGGTTAAGTCAGCTGTTTGAATCCAAACAAACATCAAGCCTCATTTGAAATTAGAACATTGCGTCAGTTTCTCCCGGAAGGAGCTGGGCGTTGAACCTGGAATCATCTTTATAGAAAGCGTGGCTTTTTGGTGAGAACACAAGCGTGCCCCCTTTTACACCCAAGCACACACACTCCCTCCTGACTCAGAGGGGAAGTGAGTGAAGGACGGAAAGCCTCCATTTTTTTCTGCTCCACTTGCCAGCTGGGGAAATTCCTTTTGTGTGGGAAACTACCACCTCAGCAGCTGGAGAGAAGGAATCCCATTCATCCAGCCTGCTCCATGAAAGCCTATTTCCTTCTCGCTCAGGCTGCCCTTTAGCTAATCCCGGAATGAGATGGAAAAGGTTCTTCTTCTGCCTCCTGCTAAGCAGAACTCAGTAGCAGGAAACAGGGCTGCTGATTTACCCACATTGAATGAAACACAAGGCAAGAATTACAGGCAGCTCACTGTCCTCTGGATCCATCACACATGTGATCTGGGGCAGATGGGTGAGTCAAAAAAGTCAAAATGGCAGCCGAGACTGTGGGATCAAAGCCCTGCCTCTTTTGTGCTTGTGTTGTGCACAAGCCACACGTAGAAGGGGGAAGGGCTTCATTTGCTGGGTCGCAACGGCCATGCTGATTTTTTTTACACACACACATCCAAGGATGCGCCACCATGTCTTTGTTCCTTTGATCTCCAGAGTAGGATTTCTGACTGGATCTTGGAGTCCAGTGATCTTCTAGGGCAGCCATCCCCAACCTGGTGCCCTCTCAATATGTTGTTGTTGTTGCTATGGCAGGTCACATAGTCAGCCAGATGTTTAGACTGGATTTGGCATTTTTATCCACCGATCGAGTCCTTCCCAAGAACCTGGGATAGGCAGATGTGGTTGTGTGATGGTTTGATGGAGTTAAAGGTATCGTTGTAGGATATAAGCGGTTCCAAGTAAAGCTGCCTTTTGCAATTGACTGGTGGTGATTTTGTCAGTGCTGATGGTCTTCAGGTGGTGCTCCAGATGTTTTGGGATTGCACCTAAGGCGGCTATAACTATTGGTACTCTCTTTGCTTTCTTTTTACATAGTCATTGTACTATTCTTATTGTGGTTGTTGTTATTATTATTATGTGCCATCAAGTCATTTTTGACACCTAGCAATCACATAATTCCTGGGAAACCTAGCATACTGGCTGGGAAACCTAGAAATTGATTTACAGGCAGTCCTCATTTAGCAACTGCATTGTTTAGCGACTGTTTGCAGTTACGACAGTGATGAAAAAGTAACTTTGTGACCAATCCTTGCATTTATGACCTTCTCAGATCTGTAAAGCAAAGTAAAGATGAAGTAAGATCATAAGTCCAGTTGCAGTTTCATTTAGCAACCACTTCACATAACGACTGAGTTGCTGGTCCTAATTGTGGTCGCTAAACAAGAATGACCTGTATTAAATCAATTTATGGGGCATCCATTCACTAGAGAACTCTGGGTGGTTAATAAGACATGAAAAACAATAGTTAACAACAACAACAATAAAAACAGACATACAATCTGGCTGTCAAACCCCATCCTACCATCTCCTAAGATGAGCACATCTAATATCCTGGCCTGAATGCCCAGGGGAAAAATCAGATTTTTAATGCCTTCTGAAAGGCTAGCAAAGTCGGGGGCAGGGGTGTTTGCAGGGAGAGGGTCAAAAAAGTCAAAATGGCAGCCACAATCTTGCAGTCAAAACCCTGCCCATTTTTTATGTACATTGTGATATGGAAAAGGACCAGGGCTTTGATCACATGTTGGTGGCCACCATCTTGACTTTTTAAACCCCACTCTCCTTGTGGACACCCCTGGTTGGGGCCAACTGGTGGAGAGATTGTTCCTGAGGTTGGGCAATGTCACAGAAAATGGGCTTCCTAGGTCCAGTCCGACGACATTAATGCAGGGAAGCGAGCTATAGCATGCTCGGCCTGGAAGAGCATGTAGGACGGGGCATGATGACCAGAGACAGGCAGTCCCACAACTCAAGCCCCAAATAAAAGTGGAGGGGGAAAATCTGTCCTAAGGCTTTTTCTGTGTGTGCCTTCAAGTCAGTGTTGACTCCTGGAGACTGCCTGGACTAGGTCCTGCAGTTTTCTTGGCAAGTGGTTTGCCCTTGCCTGCTTCTTCCTAGGGCTGAGAGAGGGTGACTGGCCCAAGGTTTGTGCCTAGGCAGGACTAGAACTCAGGGTCTCCCGGTTTCTAGCCCGGTGCCTTTAACCACTGCACCCAACTGGCTTCTTTCCTAAGATGTAACCTTAAGACATTGGCTCTAGCATTAATGGGGGGAGACTCATTAGTGCCCTTCATCCCATTCTGGGTTGCACGTCCCAGAGAATGCCATCGTGGCCACACCGCTTCCCGGTGTGATAATACCTTCCAACAGCTCTTACGTTCGTCTGTTGCAAATTGGTGCGCTTTTAAAAAAGAAAATAAAGCTGACCTTTGTTAGCTGTATGCTTTTTCCTTCCTTCAGACACAGAAGGCTGCGATCATACCTGGCGTAAGTTCCAAGGTCACTGTTATCGCTACTTCGCCCATCGGCGCTCTTGGGAAGACGCAGAGAGGGACTGTCGACGGAGGTCAGGACACCTGACCAGCATTCATTCCTGGGAAGAACATAATTTCATTAGCAGTAAGTTGGAAGTTGGGAGAAGAAGGGAGGGAGGGAGGGAGCCACAGCAAGAGATGGAAGTCAAGTTTCGGTGCAAGGCTAGGTTCACACATTACAGACCGTGGTTATCGCATAACCCGTTTTCGGGGTTCACCCGAGACATGAAAGCTGAAACCCACAAACAGTCTGAACTGGCAGAACAGGCAAATTTAATGTACCAACCTAACTAACCAAGCTTAGCATGTCATACAAGTGCACCCCTAAGTCTTTAATTGAGCTGGTGGCGGCTTCATGTGAATTTGACCTTGGGAAGCAACCTGTGGATTGATAACCATATTTTGCCAACGAACAGAAAGAAAGGGACCCTCGTTTTGTAGGAAGAGGAAAAATTGTACCCCCCCCAAAAAAAGTCACAGCAGCCATGGAATCACTGGAAAGGCGCAGCTTAACCCTAAAACATTGCTGGTTTATATGAACCCTTGACCCCAGCAAGATCCCCCCAATTCCTGAGCAAGTTGCTGTGCTCACAATGCAGCGAGGAACCTGAAACAGCACTCTTAGGAATTTGGACTGGATAGCAACTAAGGGCTTTCGGTTATTATATGCACCTTCCTGAGAGCTGTATAGAAATAAGTATTAATGAACCTCCTTCAATATTTTGTCAGCAGTATCTGATTCTCTGCTCACCAGAGAAAGTACCCTGGAATCTAACCCAGAAATGGCACTACTAAATTATGGATGTTGTAAAAGAAGTCCTTGCTGGATGAAAGGGGGAAAAGGGGGGGTGTTGTCAGACCACAGCTGCAAAATAACGGTGAAAGAAGCTTGAAACCATCTGAGTCGGAGCACAGAGATCATCTGGTGCTGCCGTCCAAATGCCTGATTGGGCCAAACCCCATGATTATTATTCATACAGATCCGGGCCATTTTCTTGGCAAGATTTTTAGAATTGTTTTGCCGTTGACTTTTTTCCTAGGGCTGAAAGGGTGCGACTGGCCCAAAGCCACCCAGTTGGCTTTTGGCTTTCGTGTCTAAGGCTGGACTAGAACTCATGCACCCCTGCCTTCTAATCAAGGGTCTTTAACCACTAGACCAAACTGGCTCTCGGGTTTTTTTGTGTGATCAATGGGAGAGATGCTCTGTTTAAAACGTTAGCATGGATATATAAAGGGCTGTTCTGCAGACTTTGGCTTCTTCTTGAGGCTTCTGGACTTAAGTATGGGAAATGAGTGTATCCGTCAGCCCTACAAAATAGACTAGACTAAGAAACCGATGCCACATAGGTCAGTATTACTTTTATCGGAAGACCTATAATAACAGCATCTTGCAAGTCTGAATGTGTTTCCCCTCCATGTGAACTAGGGAGGGGTTTGCCTGAGATGTTTTCTCACGTTACTTTCTTTGCCCGGGTTCAACCCCCTCTTATCTGTTCTTTGCCTTGGTAGTGGCTCTTCCTCCTGTCCTTCAAGGCCATTCCCTCTTCTCTCTACAGCATCTTGTCTTCATGTGTGAGAACCCCAAAGTATTGCACTACAGATTAATTTGACACGTTATATCGATTTGCCTGCCTGTTTCCCATGGTTTGGGGTTCCCTTACACAACACACTGAGGGCTCCCCACAAACAGACACATCTGGTTTTCTAGATATTCTCTGGAAAGTGGAAGCGACACAACTTTCTAGACCACGCCCTGCCTGTTGGTTCTTCACCGGCAAATGAACTGGTGGAGAAGAGATCATTCTGTTCCTCCCTAGAAAAACCAATTAAAAGCAGTGTAGCAATCATTTGAAAAACTCTAGTCGTGTCATTATTACAGGAAGAGAAAGATGTTAAAACTGTGAAACACTGGGGGGGGGCAGGGGTGTCAGCCGGCTGCAGTCAAAATCATCAAGATGGTGCCATTAATCACACCGCTGTGGCCACATCTTGGTTTTTTTGACCATGGCCTCTGGACTCCCCTGGAGGAGGGTCCCCTATTGCATAGTCAGGCCTCCTTAGAGGGAGGGAGGGTAATTTTTTTAGCTCAGTAGCCAAGGCAATCATATCCAGATGGCAGCAAAGGCTCTGTGTCTCTTTGCAGCCATCTAGTGGTTGTCCTGTTATTTGCAGCCCTGATATGCAGCCCTCCCCCTCTTCACCTCCCCATCCCACAAGGGTCTCTTTCAGCAACATCCCACTGAATCCACCATACTCCATTTGATTGGAGCCACCTATAAACAGCTGCCAATCCATAAGCAAAGCAATAAACCAGGAAGAACTCACGCCCCTGAGAAATGCATTTCTGTTACTCCAAACTCTTCTCCCTTTCAGGCCTCGGCCACGAGAACACATGGATCGGCCTCAATGATCGTATCGTGGAGCAGGATTTCCAGTGGACAGATAACACTGGATTGGTGAGTTTGTGGAAGAGGAGATTCCTCTCCAGTCTGGATCGATGTGCCTGTTTTGCATGCTGAAGGTAGGAATCTTTGGTGTTTTCTGAGCTTGGTCGTTTGTTTGCAGACGTTTCATTACCCAACTAGGTAACATCATCAGTGTGAATGAGTGTGGGGTTGCTCTCTGTTTATATGCAGTAGCTTGCCCTGCCAGTGTTGGTGGGGTTGTGGTTTTCTCCTTGGTAGTTCCTTGATTAGAGTATTGTTTTCAATCAAGCAGACAATCATACAGAAAACAATACCCTAATCAAGGAACCCCACACTCGCTAGCACTGATGATGTTACCTAGGCAGGCAATGAACCATCTGCAAGCAAACGACCAAGTTCAGAGAGCACCAGGGAGTCCACAGTTCAACCCTGAGCTACAGATATTCTCTTCTATTGGATGCTGAAAGTCCCTGGGTCGAGTCCTGCCAATTCAGGCAGCCAAGGAGCAGTTAGGAAATTCTCCCAAGGTCTGCTGCCTGTTGGAACAGACCACCCCAAGCTAGATGGAAGAACCAAGTGCTTTAACCAGCCTGGCATAGTGCTAAAGCCCTTGCCTTGCAGACAACAGTTCCCAGAGTTGAGCTTGGTGGCCTCCCCTTGAAAAGGACCTGGGGATGGAAAAAGCCTTTTCTGCCTGAATCATAGCAAGCTGCAGCCCGTTGAGAGAATATAGGAATGCACGGGCAAATTGATGTTCCGCTCTCGATGATGCTGGGCGGCTCACCACAATCAAAGTCAATCAATAAAAATAAAAGGTGGCAAGTGCAATGAAGCGAGGGGTCACCAGGTACGGTAAAACAGTCCAAGTGGTACCACGATGGTGCGATCAAAGCACCACCTGCTTTTTATGTGCATCCCATGTGTAGCGCACATAAAATACAGGCGGAGCTTTGATTCTACTGTGGTGTCCGCCACCTTGACTTTTTTGTCCATACCCTGTAGACACCACGATGTGATGGAAATAGCACAAGACATTTCCCCACTACCATAGAGGTGCCAGGGAGGCACATAACCCAAGCAGCAAATGATAAAAGCAGCATGGCACTGATGCAGTGCAAGTCCCACCCCTTTTGTGCATGCATGACCTAGGAGCTGATTAGAAGGAAGGGGCAATGAAGGTGCAACCCGGGAAACTATCTTTAACCCGTGCTACCCTTTGCTGTTCACTAGCAATACGAGAACTGGCGCGAAAACCAGCCAGACAATTTCTTTGCGGGCGGCGAAGATTGCGTGGTCTTGGTGTCCCACGAGACCGGCAAATGGAACGACGTTCCGTGCAACTACAAACTTCCATATGTCTGCAAAAAAGATACAGGTAATATTATTTACGTGTGCATTATTTTTCCAGTTCCTTCCTTGAGTGGAGCTTGGGAGAAACCCCATTGGCCATTGCTCAGTAGGGTTACGTTCCTATTTTCTTTCAGCCCTTCGAGGGAGGCCAGGCCAGGAAACAGACATCCCAAGAAATTCTAGAACTCTGCTTTGTTGATATCACCTCTAATAACAAAATCTTGAAAGTCTGACCGCATTTCTCCTTCCCTCCTTATATCGAAAAGGATCAAGCCGGGGCAATCTTGAGTTCTTTTCTCACAACTTCCTGTTTTCCTGGGCTAAGTTCACATTTTCACAGGTTGCCACCTATTTTCTTCAAAGCCATCTCAATACTCTTTGCCCCCTTCTTATACTCCAATCAGCTAAGGGGAGAAAGAGAAGCTTGGATCCAAGGTTTAGAAGCAAATATTGCCAGTCTGCGAGCTGGCCCCTTTCGCCTTCTAATTTCTGTTCCACCTGTGCTTGCGGAAAGATGCGTGTGGTCAAGAGGCCGCTTTTTCAGACTGTTTCCTGAAAAGAGTCTCTAGAAGGGGGGAAGGATAAAACAATACCCCCAAGGACTTTTTGAAATATGTGAGATCCTTTTTTTTCATACCACAGCAACCCATACTTACAGCTTCTTCAAAAAGAAGAGGGTGATTAAAGCTGTGGTTTTTCCTGCATCAGGGATTTTTTTCAAAAACCACCAGGCATTCTTACTCAGGGATCTTAATTTCTCTGCTTTCCAGCTGGTGGAGGCAGGAATGAAATAATCCCCTTTGGGCCTGTTTTCTCCGCCTTTGGTTCCCACTACGTTAATTTGCCTTTGAAATTCTCCCATTAAAACTATTAAGCCCCGCCGTTGCTTATTGGAAAAGTCACATTAACCTCCAGCTGTTTGTGACAAGCTTGAGAAATGGGTCTTCCAGTTCCAAAGCTAATGATATATTAGCTCTGATAAAAGTTGTTAATTAAATATAGAAATCCCCCTTCCCCACCTACCCGGAATTCTGGAGTATAGCTTGGTCCCCAAATGGAGCATTTGGCATCGGTTAGATTTATAAAGGTCCTAGAACATCTGAAGATATAAACAAATTGCTTAAGCGAAAAGAAAACCCCACGAGTGCGTCTTCAGAATTCAGATTATTTCTTTCTTTCAACCCAGATTTGTAAAGGATATCGTTCCTCCCCCCCTCCCCCCCCACATCTCTTACAATGATAAAATGCAGACTGTAAACCATCTGAGCCAGAGATTCATCTTGTTTGCTTATCACATTTTGTAGAGTGGAGCAATCTCAGGTTTGAATCAGCATCACTGAATGCAGAAATATCCACAGAGAGATTGAGTCTGATTAAATTCAGGAGGAAAACAGTGAGGTCAGCGTCAAGTTCAGCTCATTTCTTGGTGACATACATAGACACTTCCATGTCATTTTCTTGGCAACAGTATGAATATGTTTTACTTTTTAATGGATTTTTTACTCCCCTAGACCTTCCTGGAGATTTCCCATCCAAATACTAACTAAGCCTTACCGGACAGATTTTTGATATTAGCCAAGGTATTGTTACCTAACTGGGTTGAGAAGATTGCTACGATGGTTCTTCCGTTCAGTGGAGGCTAAATGAAACCTCCACATTCATGAACAGTATATCTCATGTGACCAGTTTTGTCCCCGTGGTCAGGAGTAGGGTGATAAAAGTGGTGAAGCTTGCTCAATTCTTCACTCTTAGTGCATTTGTAGATGAGTGCCCAGAAGCTCTCTTCAAGGTTACTGATACTTTTCAGAGGAAGGAATGAGTGGGAAGGTTCTTCTGCAGACTCCCGTGGCATGTCTGAAATGTCCATGCCAGGCCAGATCCCTTACATTTGCTGAAAGTTGGGAAACTCTTGGGCAGCGTCTTGGGAGATCATCTGGGCTCTTTGGAGCTTCTTGAGGCTGGAGATGTGGGTAGGGCCCTCCACGCAATGAGGTCCGTCCCCTTCCAGCTGCATCCCCATCCCTCTTGGCCGAGTGGGCAGCTGGGCAGGGCGCGAAGCTGTTCAGAAGGGTTGGGTGCTTCTTTGGGGTTGGGGTGCTCCCATCAGCCTCAGAGGAGAGGGTAGTGCCCCCAGGGCCAGTTTGAAAAGACTTCCAAGATGCACAATGTGAGTACAAAATCCGATCACCTTCACTTGTTGCTTTAGAACTTTTTCTTTCTACGCTTTTCAAAAACACGCACCCACGAAGTCGGTCGAGTGGTAGCGAACAGTGCGCTAAGCAGGCGTTGCGGGTCACAAAAAAGAAATGATTGTTACCGCTTCCCTCCACGACTTGTGTCGCCTTTGCAGTGCTGTGTGGACCGCCCCCTCTGGTGGAAAACGCTTCCCCCATCGGAAAGAAGAAGGAGAAGTACAGCGTCCACTCGACCATCCGATACCAGTGTGCGGAAGGGTTCCTCCAAAGACATTTGCCCACCATCAGATGTCACGTCAATGGCCTGTGGGAGAACCCCAAGGTCCTCTGCACAAAACGTGAGTCCTTGGAGTTTGCTCCAAGACCCCTTTGGGGGCTGCCCCAATCTGGACACCTGCCATCACTTTCAGGGACAAGGGTGGGAACTGCTGGTTGGAAACCTCCACTAGCAAATCCGTTCCTCTTTCTTCCTGCTCGCCCCCTTCGCTGGGCAGGACTTCAGTGGCCCTGGAGAAGAAAAGCTGGGAAAACACTTTCAGGGTCTTCAGCATCGCAATGAGCACCAGCACCTCCGGTCGACTGCGTGGGACTGTGAGGGCTCTTTGCTCGTTGGGATCAAAACAGATGGGAGAGGTTGGGTGGATGGGGCGGGGAAGGAAGGAAGGAAGGAAGGAAGGAAGGAAGGAAGGAAGGAAGGA